CAAAGCATAAAATACTTACTGATTGCCAACATGAATTCCGTAACGTTACGTCGGTAATGATATCATTATTGATATAGTTATGAATAAAAGATGTTGCTTCCTCCTTTCTTTGCCCTATCGAAAAATTGTTCTTCTTGCACTTGTAGATGTGCGCTCGAGTATAATATGTGAAAGGGTATATTCAATTTTCCTTTGGAGAAGAGGATCAGAGCTAAAGGTGGAGGTAGTTCGAATCCAATTTCCATCAATTTGAGACTGGATAAAATCAGATTATTCCCAGGAAGGACTGATTCCTGTATCCTTCCACCATTTGGTTGGGTATCATGCATAAAAAACACAAGGAGAATAACAAATCATAGGCTACATGAATAACATTTTTTTCTCCTAATTTGATGAGAATTGATTCTCTAGAATGATGGAATTGATGATTTCAATAATTATCTGCTTCATATTCAGCAGAATATTCAGTCTGACAGCGGCATCTATAAGATTGCGAAATGAACATTTTTTCTTTGAAGGGAAGAAAGTTTGATATTTCATTTCTGTTTACAGGTGAGAAAATGTCACTTTTTAATAATTACTTCTTTCCCGGACATATGTACTATTGATGGCATTTGTTATTGTGCCAGATCCGAAAAAATGAGCTGAGAAATAAGCAGAGAAAGAACAGCGTGTCTTTTTCATCTTCCATTTCATAAATCTTGAATATTTACGCGGTTTCGTAGATTACTAAACAACCACTAATTTTGCAATTTCCGAAACAAATCACAGAATTTAATCGACAGATATTCGATTACTTCGAAAGGTTTTCTTAACAGCGCAGGTCGATTTGTCAGCCTATGCGTACCCATTAAAAACTTCGAATTTCTGATCGATGATTTTCAGATTCTGATATATTATGTAATGTGGTGTTTTTTCAAAATCAACTCATCGTTTCTATCGCCAGAAAAAAAAATTGTATTGTACACGGTAAAAGCATATCCGGTTTTTGTACGATTTTTTCCCTTGTTCAATAAATAACTATTTCTACAATCCAGTTAGGGAATTTTTCAGTTTGGCATATCTCAGTGAATGAGTAAAGATGATTCAAAACTTCAGTAAGTTTTGTCACTTTATAATAAAATATGTGAAGATTGAAAGAGAACGAGATGGGAATTCTGAGCTAAATTAAATATTTACATGCAATTTAAATAGCATGCTCATTGCATACAGCAGATTCTCTCTTTTCAGATATGAAATATGTACAGGTATCTAAATAACACCGAAAAAATGCATGGGGTGATTCTTTAATAAAAATCAAGGTGGATGTTTTGTAAACTTTTTTTCAAATACCTCTTCCCGGAAAATTTACACTCCTCCGAAGATTAAAAAAAATTTTTGAAAAGGAATATTCTCAGATAAATTATGAAGATGAAAAAACGGATATATATATGAAGAAATACATTGAGAATTCGCATTCTCTATATGATGAAAATATCAATTCTTTCACGGTTTATTCAACAGAAAACAACAACTTTTCTGGCTATATGCCACGACGAACATTGACTTATATCTATTGAACACATACGATGAGAATTTGAAAACAAAATTTGTATTCTCCTCCTGTTGAAAATATGTATATGCACATATCATTCTGAATATTCAACAGAAAAAAACTACATCTTGATGGCTATTTGCCACGTCGAACATTGAATTATATCTTTCTTATTTTTTCGTAAATGTTTGTTTTCGGAAAACTTGCAGAGATAAAAAATGAATTGGGCTTTTCAGCCATGTTTTTTCAAGACAAAAAGTTTCATAATACAAAAGTTGAAAGAAAATATATCTTAGGGACTGACAATTTCAACCCCTTCTAAGCATACTTTAGGGTTGAAAACATTTTTAAATGTGTAGTTCTATTGAGAAATAATATTACCATAGTTTAGTGTATTCAGATAAATGCATATACATGGAAAATCAGAGAGAAAGTATTTTTTTTAATTTTTGGAAGGGTGTAACTATTTTGAGGGAATGTTTTTGAAACAATTTAATTTCAAATACTTACCCACCTTGATTTTCATCACAGAATCACCACTTATTTTTTTCTCGGTGCTATTTAGATACTCCCTTTATAATGTAGAGCTTGTACTCGTTCCAAGTTTAACAATCATAATTTTTCCTAAAGAAGTTAATTCCTCCCGAATTTATGAACGCTGTTCAGGTAAATGGTAGTGAAGCGTGCATCATTACCATTAGTTACTCAAATCAAACTTGTTTATCAAGTAACTTCGTCAACATAATAACATATTTTATTTTTATGATAACTGTTGTATTTGGAATGTGTACTATAAAAGTGGAATTTTCTCATGAAATTATCGTGAAAGAGTATATAGTGAACCCTGAAAGTCGCCGTGATAGCAACAAGTGATTTTTTTTATCTATCCTCTTGGAGCGCACGAAAGGAAATTCCTATAATGTTCGTGGAACATCGCGCATACCTAGGGGAGCCAGGGAGAGGATAGGTAGGTGTTGAAATTCTCATAATTCACTCTATATATCAGAGAAAAAGAGCAGAGGATACTTAGGTATTCGCCTCAGGGACCTCTATTCGTAGTAGGACTATATGTACAGTTTTTCAAGACTCGCCCTGTATAGAATATTCGATTAACGGATAAATGTCTCGCAAATTGTTACACCCTGTATAATCCGATGATGTAAACAGTAAACAATAATCTCGGAATACACTCCGACCTTTAGGTACGGCATTCCCTGGCGATATAGAATTTGTAATTAGCTACGTTAATCCAGATTATAAATGTTGGAATGGCGTCTGAAAGCGACCACGGTGAATCAACCCAAAACTAATTCGGTTTCCATGTAGAAGTAGACCGTCGGTCCTCAGAAATCCAGATCCAGTTATTGCTCAAACACAAATATCAGAGTATAAGTAATTATATAAAATACGAAAAAGAAATATGTTTTAATTCATATTTCGGCAACAAAGTGGCAATGTGTTCTTTGAAAGGGGTTCCCATAGGGCGACTTGTTTGTCCAATATAAATCAACAAAGTTATTTCATACATATTATCTGTTCTTGTTTCGAATAATTCGAACTCCGTATAGAATTTGTTGTATTTTGTTCGCGTTCTAATGGCTGTATACAACTCCAACCTCATATCCATTATATTTATTACTGAAGTAGATAGCACAAAATTTGAGAAGAAGGCAACATTTTATTTTTATACACATTGAATTGAAATCAAGTTGATGTATCTGTATCTACCATGTATTTCTTCAAGAGACTTGAGATACTTGTAAACTCGCCTGGAAGGAGTTCTCCAACTTTTTCAACTCCCGACCTTTCGCTGTGAACTCACTTCCTTTGAATAATTTCGTGATTTTAGGATCAACTTCGTACACATTCGAAAATCTCAGTGTAAATAACATTAACGTTTCCCATTTCCTGTTGAGTATGTACCGATTTTGGGTTTTCTGAGGTGCAGCCATATCTATTTTAAAGTTATTAAATACCTTGCGAGGAAGAAATTAATCTTGACATAATTTCAAATTTCACCTTATATGTGTAGATTCAAAAATAAAACCATCACAAAGTTTTACTATAGAGGAACATCTAGATGAAATTTCAACGAAAATCTAGTTGTCAATGAGGTCAAATGATTCTCCATGCAGTTGTAACTACACTTCTCCAAGAAATTAACGCAACACCTGAATCACTTATATAATCAACAGACTACAAATTGACATTATCAATAAAATAATCACATACAATTGAATTTTGTATTTTATGAAAACGCATCACCTTGCCTTTTTCAACATTTATATCCAGATAATTCAGGTACTAAAGGTAAAAAACTTCTCCAAGTTTTGTTGAATAATCTGGCAGTCATTTAAACAAGTTACCTCTTTATAAAATTTGAGATCGTCAGCATAGAGTGATACTATGGAATTTTGGAAATGAATCAGTAACATCATTTATGAATGACAGTATAGGACCTATGTGGGACCCTTGGGGGACTCCAGAAGTGACATAGGTTCGACATGAAAGAAAAAGTATATTCATCTGTTCTACCAACCCTGGCCTACAGTTTTAGTGGCGCGGTTTGGTGGACAATACATAATTGCTCAAATTCTGAAATATCCACTGGTTATTGTTCAGCTGTCAAAGATTACAAGGTGGCACATTCTATTTGTTATTAAACTAAGTATTGGTATCTATCTATCGTTCTCAGGAAATTGAAACATCTGTCCAACTCAATGCGACTTTATTCATTCTCGCTTCCACAGCTAGTAGCACCCATTCCCTGAAGAAACCCCCCAGGTCCTGATTCTGAAAGAAACATCACATCTATAGAGGAGTTGTTGAACTTCCCGACCTCTGAATAATTCCCCGATGCTCCGAGGGCCGACTTCAAACAAATTCACATGTCACTTCGCAAACAACGTTCGTCCTATTTTTTTCTCATCCCCTATTTCTTTGTACGGGCGCAAGATATAGCCGTTCAAGATGCTATAAGGTGTTGTCGGTGCAAATCAGGCTTGGCTGAGCATTTTTCTTAAAAATGTGTGATCCTTGGTTGTAATCCTGGCAGCACCTCGGCACCCTAGAATTAGTTCGGAATCCACTATGAGCTATAGGCCCTGCTCTTCGTAACTCCACACAAGTTTAGACTTCTGGGAAGTTGTTCTAAATTTTTCTAAAATTGTTCTTATCCATCATTCGGTTGCCCTCTTACGAGCAACCCTCAGAAGTCTTCAAGAGCCTTGTGCGAGCAAGGAATGACGGGGGTCTTACCATTTAACGTGTGATCCCAAATACTTTCTTAGGCCATCAGAAAACAACGTAGATCTTCTTTCTTTTCAATGGACTCTGTTCTATAAGACATATGGCCAATCCAACGTGGATAGAATATTGACGCTTCAACCACGAATGTACGACGCTGGTTCCCAATTTCAAAGTATCGTTATTCAAATCTTACGATGATTTTTTTTTCTTTTTCCAGGAAACCGGTGACAGATGACGTCAACTGGCCACTCTACACGAAAGACCAACCACAATATTTCATTTTCAATGCGGACAAGAACGGCATAGGCAAAGGACCAAGGGCACAGGCGTGTGCCTTCTGGAACAATTTCCTGCCCAAGCTGAGGGACAACACAGGTAAGGATTAAGGACATAGATCATGAAGAGAACACGGGAAAAACAATGAAGCCAATTTTTTGCCGAATGTATTTTTATACCTACATGTTACCCTCCCTTTCGAAAAGCTACATCTTTTGGTACCTACCTGAATATACGGGCATATCAATAACAGTCACATAGAAAAAGTGCATTTTAAAATACATATACTCAGGAAGAACGATGGAAGTCCATGAGTAATTTTAAAAATTGATGAGGGTCCGCTCAGCAGTCCTTAGAAAAAACGTACTCTGTCAGTTTTTGCATTTACGTGAGATTTTGAGGTTAGATTCACGTCGTACGACTATTATGAACTAAATTAGTGTCGTCAGTAAATATCAAAATAGCTAATAACCCGAATTATATGATTTATATATGAATAATCATTGATTTTCCACTTCACCATTCGTCTCAACTGATTGCACTATTCGCAGATTTGGTAATAGTACTTTTGTGGCATATTCGTGATGAAAAAAAAAGCTCAAGTATTCATCACCAATTCGGTTACAATAATCAGTTCTGTAATATATAGAGGTTTAGTTGTGCAATCTGTATATGAGTTGATTTTGTATAGGAACAGATCAGAGTTGCAGTTGTCATATAAAAACAATGTATTCTTATTGATTGGTGTGTCGTTCATAATTTCATCCTGATATTGCAAATGCTCAATTGTTGAGAGAACTATGAAAAAAATATAGAAACAGAGATTGAATCTTCTATCAATTAAGAGTCATTTTAACATCATTGGTCCTCTAAGTGTTCCAGCCAGTCCCGAGTGAAGTGAGTACAACGTCCTCATCTCATCATACTTGTTTGCCATTTCATAAAGATTGCTCAATAAATTTTGTGTTATTCCTAACTACATCAAAGTCTTGAATCTCTGAATTTAAAATTAGCGCAATAAAGAAGGCTCATGAAGGCCGAGAAATATTTTCTCCTGATTGCTGAAAAAAATTCCAAAAAATTCATAAACGCAGTTATTTAGAATTCGAAGTAAGATCCGATGGAAAACTCTTCCTTCACATTTTCAAAATCATTGGTTCACGCAATGCAGTAGGCTCATATACAGGTTGAAAAATATATTTTTTCAGATTGTCCCATTAATAAAAATAATATTATAGACACTAAAAACTGCTCCTTAAGATTGTCAAAATTTGTAATTCACGCAACGCTGAATGTCTCAAAAAATTCATAGACACTGATTCAGAAAGGTAAAAAAAGAATTCGATATCATATTTGGTGGAGAACTTTGCTTTCAGGTTTTCGAATTCAGAAGTTCACTCAATGCAAGTATGTATAGAGGTCGAAAAATATGTTTCTCTTCATTGCTTGAAACGTCCCAAAAAATTTATAGACACTATAATTCCGACCTATCAGGAGATAATTCTATGTCAGATGTAGAAACTCTCCCTTGATATTTCCGAAATTAGCAGTTCAAACGCAATATATAAGTAGGCGCAAACAAGTCAAGAATTTTTTTCTTGATTGCCCTAAAAATCCCAGAAGATGCCTGACATTGATAATAGATTTTTTGCACTTTGAATCCATCATAATTGGCTATATAATATTGCAATGAGAGAATTGGGAAATCAGGAATTTCGAAAATCGTTTAACGAATGAGATTACAAGGGTGGTCCTGCTCAGAGTGGGACATCCTGTACATAAATCAAAATCGATCAATTCGAGTACCACAACGAATTTTTAATTCCACCAAAAAAAATCTCGACACATATACATAAAACATTATTCCTATGATTTTTTTTTGTTCGTAATACGTTGGAGACTGACAGCCCGCCATATCGATATTTTGCGGGATATACGCTGAATAATCCTGCCGCCTCTAAAATACTTTGTTTTTTCCATTCCACCGCGAACGAAGCTCAAAGAAAAAGATGGAATAACAGATAATGAAATTTGATCGCATCACAGTGGCTGTAATCTCACATTGATGAGATCTCTGCTTTGAAAACTTTCGCGTCTACAGATTCGTGAGAATATTACACCTTTTGCAATTATACTGAAGATGACAACACGAGTCGCGATTAAACCATCATGATGGATTCTCTGGTTTATTCACAAGTGGAAACCGAAGGACAACAAATTTCATCTCATTTCGATAATGTTTCTCTGTATAACCTTGTTCATGTCAGGATATCAGTACCTACAGAGTGACCCATTTGAAAGCAAGCCAACCATCATATTTTTTTTATTTAGGGGGTGATTTTCACGATTTTTTCCTGAAATGTAGAGAGGGAGCATGGTGTAATTTGGAGCCAAGCGGCTTCTATTTCCTTTTCCGATGGCCCGCTTTCAAATGGTTCACTCTGTATATGTATTTTAGCTTGTCGAGTCTTTTATTGATCGAACATCATCACTAATCGCACTATAATACTTATTCGACAATGACAATACAGCACTGTTGAAGTTCTATTCGTAAATGGCATTTTTCGCTGTTTCGTTCCCTGAATTAATAATCAACAAGTAGCTCACGAAGCAATATTCCATCGATCAATATCAATTTTATTCCGACCTTCGATAAGGGCTTCCTGATGCTCTCAGTCATAATATATGGACTCAAATTCATAACGTACGGATGCATCTATGGGAGAGAGGAGAGGCAGTTGAAATCATCGTTTTTTTTTTGGGAGGTTATGAGGAACATTTTGTGTGGAAGTATCTATAGAAAAGTGAAAGGTCCTCGACTTTTCTACGGTGTTCTAATGAAGTCAAAGAGTGAGTAAGTGTGCCTTCACCCACTAGGTGAATGGCTCTTCTCTGGATGGATTCTAAGAACATCAGCGTATGTTTGGGTGCTGAACCCCATACATGAAAACAGTATTCTTGAACTGGCTGTATCTGTGCTTTGTAAATCGTGAGCAGTTGTTGAGGTGTAAAGTAGATTTTCGCACGGAATAAGAATCCGAGATTCTGTGATGCAGCTTTTGCGATGGATCGAACATGATTTTCCCATTGTCTGATGGTTTTCTCCATCACTTTGGAGATGACTCATAACAGGGCAATTGGCCTATAGTTGTTGGGCATGCTTTTGTTTCCTTTTTTTGGGAATTGATTGAACTCTAGCTATATTTACCAGCAAGTTGGAATGATGGAAAATTACCCGACTTGTAGGAGATATTAAAATAGCTTGAAGAGAATTCCTCCCAATTCTGGTGCACAGCATTTTTTGGGAATAATGGGTGTAATTCCATCAGGAAAATCATAAACTTGGATGTTTTGAGGATGATTGAGAAAAAAATGTTCTTTGTCATTCGAAAAAGCATATCTGCATATATTATTAACGAACTTATCGTGTGTACATATACGAAGTACACTTTTGTCCTACAGCCAGTTTCAATTTAATCAAGTACTTTCAAATTCTCGTCATATCATTGCTGAAATATCGTGTTTGTTCATGAAATATGAAGCTGATGTGATGGAAAAAATATGATGGAGAGTGGAATAATGAAGTAGAGGTACATATAAAGAGTCAATAAATCTATATGATGTGTCGATGTGATGAATTGGAAATTTGATTGATATCGAGGTAAATGCAACTTCCATTTTCTGTATCACATGGTGCGGTACATGGCAAGCAGAATTTAATATTATTTCGCTATTTTGAATTTTCATCACTATCAGTTGGCAGAAGAGAGAATATATAGCGACACGAATCGAGGAACACAAATACCAAAAATAAAAAATCTGCATACTCCTAATATTAAGGAGCGACAAGAAAGAGAAAATAAAATTATTTCAACACAGATATTTCAAGGAACATACATATAATGATCTGCCAGTGAATTTCATCTCAGATTCCTGATACGCGAGGTTATGTTCGTTTTACGAATTTTCCTATTGTGTGTTGGGGTCAAAATATCAAAAACAAATAACTCCAATTCTTCATGAAGTTTCCTTTAGATTCAAATGATTGATTAACAAAATATACATTATTCAAACTCCACTGGTAACAAAACATGATAAGCAAACGAGAAGACATATACCTACCAACATGATTCAAAGAACATAAATGCAAAAAAATATTAGAAACCTGTTAAGGAAACATCCGAAATATATGCTCTCGATGAAGATTCAAGATGAAATTCCTCTAACATAGATATTCCAAGGGCTATACGTGACCTGGCCAGCAATTTACTAGAAAAAAACATCCCACCTCCCAGATATGCGATGAATTGTTCGTTTTGCAAGAAATTTCCTATTGTGTATCGATGTTCGACTATCAACTTCCGTAAGAAGTGTGGCATTTTAGGAAAATTTCAAAAATAACTCCAATTCCTTTCATGAAGTCTCCTCGAAGGCAAACTTTGCTTGAATCATTGAATAACATCAAATAATATTATATTATGCCAACTTCACTGTGAACACAATATATTGGGCAGATGAAAAGACATATAGCAATATGATTCAACGAACATAAATACGAAGAATAATAGGGACCCGTCATATAGGTATGCTCTCGATGGAAATAAAAATTCGAATTCCTCCAACACAGATATTCCAAGGGCCATATGTGACCTAGCCGGAAATTCCATGGAAAGAAACGTCCCAGATCTGCGAGGTTATGTTCGTTTTGCGAGAGATTTTCTATTGTGCGCCATCAATCAGGATTCACTGGCGCGAGAGCACTTTCCTGGCCCCCTGCCCCTGCCGTCGCTTCTGCCAATATTCCTGCCTGCTGAGTTTATGTCATGGCTCACTGCTGCTTTATTGCCACATAACTCTCTATGCGCCTTATGAATGCCGCTGCGTGCCGAAATATTCTCCACCTTAGCTAGGTGTCAACTGCGGAATAATGGAGGAAATAATAACGGGAATGAAGCCATTTATATCATTTTTTTATTCAACTGAAAACCACTGAACCAGGCCTTCACAGTACGTTGTATGTACAGGGTGGGCCAAATTGGACACTTTTAAAGGGAAAGTTCTATTATCGAAACACAGGGAAGAAAACTGATGTCGGTGCC